CTCAATGTATAAGAAATATCAGCCAGAAATGTCAAGTTTCTCGAGAATCACTGATTCTCAGACAATCCACTAAGGAGCTTTCTGAGAAGGAACTAGTTCACAAAGCAATTCTCTGTGCAGTAAAAGATTATGTCACTCCCAGGCTTTGAACCCTCTAATGGATTCCCATCACAATTAGAATGAAATCCAAAGCCACACGAGATGGGCCCTTGGCTGCCTCACTGGCCTCATTTCCTCCCACTTTCTCCCTCATTGGAGCTGCTCCAGCCACAGTGGACTCCTTGTTGGTCCTTGGAGCTGCCAAATGTATTCCCAACTCAGGGTCTTCCCATTTCCTCTTCCCTCTCTTGGAATTCTCTTCATCTGTAGAGCTACATGGTTCATCATCTCCACTCATTGTATTATATATTGATTTATTTGTTTTATTATCTGCCTCCTTTCTGGAATGTAAACTTCAGAGATCAGGAACATTTTCTGTGTTGTTCACTGCTAAATCCCCAGAGCTCAGAATAGAGTAGGCGTTCAATAAANGTTTTCTGTTCACTGCTAAATCCCCAGAGCTCAGAATAGAGTAGGCGTTCAATAAATATTTATTGAATGAATGAATGAATAAATAGCAAGTTATCTGAATACATCATCTAATACATTTTATAAATAATAACAAAAAGCATCCTGCTTGTGTTCACCATTATATTGCTACTGCCTACCCCAGTGACTGGCAGATTATAATCACCACATGTGCTAGAATATAGCACTGCAGAAGAAAAATAAAGTCCAAGCTGATTTTATGGACCTTATAGTCCACCAACTTGAGACAGCACACAATCAGATACACAAACAAATATGCAAGAAGGAAAAAGAAAGGGGGGAAAAAGGTAGGATCCTGTCTACAAAGTAACTGAGGGAACTATTTCACATTAAATGAAACTCTGAGAAGGTAACACTTAAACTAAGTCCAGCACCTGGGTCAAACCATACAGAAACACTTAACAAACCTAAATTGAGTGCATTCTACAAAATAACTGGCCTAAATCATTTAAAACATCAAGGTCATGAATGTTAAGGAAAGACTAGGAATCATTCCATACTCAAAGAGCTAGAGAGAGACACAGCAACTTGGTGAAATGCATGATCCTACACCAGAAACTTGATCTAAAAGATGTTACTGGCCAAATTAATGAACATAAATGGGGGCTCCAAACAAGGATATGTGCTGATTATTTATATCCTTCCTGTAACTTTTCTGTAGTTTTGAGATTGTTTGAAATAAAAATAAATGGCCACTAGTGGGGGGAAAATTGAGGCACAGAAAAACTTAAATAACTTTCCCAAGGTCTCAAAGTATGTGATAAAGCCTGAATGTGAACTCAGGCAGTCTAGCTCCAAACTACATATCTTCAACCATTCTGCATGTTGTTTCTATCAGATAGGGCATATAAGTGTTTAGCATAGTGCCTCATGCAAAGTAAGCTCTCAAGTGATATCCATTGTTAAAAATTAATACACTGAAAAAATAAATAAACCTCACAAGTCTTGCAATGATAAAAAGTCTTCATTAAAAAAACTGTTAGAACTGGTACACAAATTCAGTAAAATTGCAGGATATGAAATCAATATACAAAAATCAGTTGCATTTCCATACACTAACAATGAACTACCTGGGGGAAAAGACACCTAGAATAGCAATCACATTAACAACAGCATCAAAAAGAATAAATACTTAGGAATAAAGTTAACTAAAGAGGTGAAAGATTTATATACTGAAAACTATAAAACATTGATGTAAGAAATTAAACAAGACACCAAATAAATAGAAAAACATCTCTTGTTTATGAATTGGAAAACTTAATCTTGTTTAAATGTTCATACTAAGTAAGGAGATCTACATATTCAACACAATCTCAGTAAAAGTTCCAGAGACATTTTTTACAGAAATAGAAACGACAGTTCTCCAATTCATATGGAACCACACAAAACCATGAACAGCCAAATCAGTCCTGACAAAGAAGAACAAAACTAGAAGCATCATACTTGCTGATTTCAAAATATATTTTGAAGCCACAGAAATCAAAACAGTATGGTACTGGCATAAAGACGGACAGATAGACTGATGAAACAGAATAGAGAGCCCAGAAATAAAGTCATACATACATGGTCAATTGATCTTCAACATGGGTACCAACAATACGGAATGAGGAAAGGACTGTCTCTTCAACAAACGGTATTTGAAAAACTAGATATCCACATGTAAAAGAATGAAATTGGACCCTTATCTTACACTATACGCAAAAATCAACTCAAAACTGAGTAAAAATGTGAATGCAATGCTTGAAACTGTAAAACCCCTAGAAGAAAACAGAGAAAAAGCTTTATGACATTGTCTTGGCAATTATTTCATGGATGTTACCCCAAAAGCACAGGCAACAAAAACAAACAAAAGTAGTGAGTTTATATCAAACTAAAAACCTCCTGCACAGCAAAGAAAACAGTCAACAGAGTAAAAAGATAATCTACAGAGTGAGAAAAAATATTTGTAAACCATACAGCTGATAAGGAATTAATATTCAAAACATATAAGGAATTCATACAACTCAACAAAAAACCAATACCCAATTTAAAAAGGACTTGACTAAACATTTTTCCAAGGAAGACATGCAAATGGCCAACAGACATATGAAAAAAAATGCTTATTGTCGCTAATCATAAGGTAAATGCAAATCAAAACCACAAAAAGATATCACCTTATACATGTCAGGATAGCTATTATTTTAAAAAGTGTTGATGAGAATGCGGAGAAATTAGAACCGTTGTACATTGTCAGTATGGATGCACATGGTGCAGCCACTATGGAAAACCGTAGTAGGGTTCTTCAAAAAGTTAAAAATATAACTACCATATTATCCAACAACCCCACTTCTGCGTATATATATCTAAAACAATTGAAATTAGTATCTCATTAAGATACCTACACTCCCATGTTCATTGAAGCATTATTCATAATAGCTGGGATGTAGAAACCACCTACATTTTGATCAGCAGATGAATAAAGAAAGAAATTGTAGTATATATATAAAATGAAATACTATTCTGCCTTTAAAAAGGAAATTGTGCAATATGTCACCATATGGATAAACTTTGAGGACGTTATGCTAAATGAAATAAGGTAGACACAGAAAGACAAGTACTGCGTTATTCAACTTAGCTGAGGTATCAAAAACAGTCAAATTCATAAAATCAAAGACCAGGTTGGTTGCCAGGATCTGGAGAGGGGAGGAAATAGGGAGCTACTTATCAACAAGTACAGAGTTTCAGTTAAGTAAGATAAATAAGCTCTAGAGATCTGTTTTACAATATTCTACCTATATTCAATAATAATGTATTATTGTACACTTGAAATTTGTTAAGAGAATACAATTCATGTTGTGTCCTTACCATAATTAAATAATAGATAAATAAATAAAATGTGTCTATATTTGGACATAAGGTCTTTAAAGAGGTAAAATGAGGTCATTGATGTGCATCCTAATCCAGTAAGATTAATGTCCTCCTAAGAAGAGGAAACTAGGACACAGACACACAGAGGAAAGACCATACAAAGACATAGAAAGCAGACAGCCACCTACAAGCCAGTTAGAGGCCTGCTGACAACTTGATCTCAGACTTCTAACCTCCAGATTTTAAGACTAATTTCTGTTGTTTAAGTCACCTAGTCTGTGGTACTTTAGTGACAACCCTAACAAACTAATACAACAGGTTTTAAGCAATTAAAGTGACATGATGCAGTCATTTAGGCAGATGACACTAGCTGGCCTAAGGTGAGAGTCGTGTAGAAGAAGAAAAGTGACTGGATTAAAGATAGCTTTAGAAATGAAATCAACATTACAGGTGACAGAAATAGAGGAACATGGAGGCCACCCAGCCTGCAGCAGGAAAAACTTGGGCAATAGTGATGCTACCAAGGTGCAGGAGACCAGGGAAGGAGAAGTTCTGTTTGAACATCTTAGATTTGAGATTACCTATTAGATACCCAAGTGGAGATGTTAGGTGAACAGTTAAGTATATGAATCTGGAATTCAACGGGAAAGTCAGAGATGGAGATATAAATCTGGGCACCCTTGCTACATAGAAGATATTTAAAGCCAAAGTACTGGATAAGATTACCTAAAGAGAAGGCACGGATAGTTAACATCAGAACCCTGACCCAATTCCTGCAGCACATCAATATTTAAGGTTTAACAATGGAGTAAGTATATAGGATAAAAAGCTATTAAAAGTGAAGTAAGAGGAAAACTAGCAAAGTAGTGTCCAGGAATCAAGAAAAAAAATGTGTCTTAAGGAGAGAGTGGGGCAGCTACCAAGTGCTGTTGAGAGGTCGAGTGAGATGAGAACTCTCAGTCAGCACTGGTTTTGGCAGTAGGGAGATTACTGCCGTCAATGAGAGACCCGTCTTAGTCATATGGTGAGAACAGAGTCCAAATGGAAAGTGTCGAAGAAGAAATGAGAAATACGAAAGTGAAATAATTTACTTTAGACAATTATTTTAAGTATTGCTGGAAAGGGAAGCACTCAGCTTATGGCAGCTAGGATAGCTTAGGCTTATTTAGTTCTACTGGACATTTCAGAAGGATCTGAAAATTTGATCTCATATTAGTTAAATGGGAGGATTTCTGACCATATGTACAGTTAGGATTATGAGGTTATATCATCTAGAATTAAACTCTTCATTGATTCTATGAAAACCTGTAGGAAACTATAAATGCAGATTATAGTTTAGAACGTTGTAATTTAAAACAGAAAAAAAGAAAAAAAAGAAATGTAGGGTGTGAATGGAAGTTCTGCAGAACTCTTCTGAGGAATTAAAGATAATTTTATTCTGATCTGATCTGCAAATCAAAGAACATAGCCTTCCGCATGAACCCAGGACATGCTCTAAGATGGGAAGGATAAGGCAAGTGTTTCAAAAGCGAGGGTCAAAGGGATGAGTTGCTAGGGAAACTTACAGCATTTAGTTTTTCATTGGGGGAGCGAGTGGACTTTCAAGGGTCTTCTGACTTAGTGGTCGGCAAATGAGGTGATGAGATGAGAAAAGCNGGCGAGTGGATTTTCAAGGGTCTTCTGACTTAGTGGTCGGCAAATAAGGTGATGAGATGAGAAAAGCGGTAGTTTCAGGTGACTTCGTCTGCAGATAGAGTCAGGGGATACAGCCAACAGTTGCAGTCATAAGACGTGGTCAGCAAGGGAAGAGGGTTAGGAAGGCAGGGACCAATGCCTCCGTTTCCCTTGGAGTCTGCAAAATAAACTAGTAAGACAAGTTTTGCAGTGAAATGGACAATGCAGGGAATGCAGTTCATCAGGGAGACAGAGTCAGAGTTTAAATTGCAAAATGGCCTAGTCACATCAAGCTGGGTCAGACACCAAATTCCAGAAGGATCTAGATAGTCTGTCACAAAATTATGATATTAGAATCCTTAAGGGTTTCTTGGATAATAACTTCCTATAGGCTCTTAGGTAAATCTCAATCAAATGCTTCAGTAACTAAGAATTGTACCTTACACAACAGATATTAATAAGAAACATTATACATCCCCTGATTCTATCTGCTGACCATGAGGCAACTGAAACTGCCCACAGTTCTCATCTCACAACCTCACTTGCTGACCACTGAGTCAGGAGACCCTTGAAAGCCCAGTTGCCCCCACCAATCAAAAAATAAATGTTTCCCTAGCAACTCATCCCTTTGACTCTCACTTTTAAAATGCTTGCCTTATTGCATTAATAAACCCACCCAAATATTAAAAGTATTAGATGGGGAAATAAGGAAAACCTATGGTGGAAATTTTAATAGCTTTATCATGCCATGCTCCAGAAAGGATCTTAGGCAGCTTACAAAAATGTACACATAATTGCAAAAACATAAGTAAACAGGGAAATTAAAGGTTAAAGAATGGACGGGGACAGGGTGGCAGCAATACTTCTTATGCTATATTTTTTTATTTCCTTTTATCTTTGAGTGATACAAATGTATTAGCTATTCAGAAAGTTAAATTTTTAATGGACTTCGTTTTTAGAGCAGTTGTAGGTTTATAGAAAAACTGAGCAGAAAGTACAGTTCCCATATACCCCCGGCCCTGACCCTGCCGCACGTTCCCCTCGTATTAGCATCTTGCTTTACTGTGGTACATTTGTTACAACTGATGTGTTAATACTAATACCTAAACACCATAGTTTACATTAGAGTTCACTCTTAGTGTTGTACTTTCTGTGGCTACTGACAAATGCATAATGACACGTTACCCACCATCCCAGCACCGGACAGAAGAGTTTCATTGCCTGAGATCTCCCGCGCTCCACCAGCTCATCCCTCTCTCCTTCTCCCCCTCCAACTCTTGGCAGCCACTCATCTTTATATTGTCTCCATATAGTTTCGTCTTTTTCAAAATTCCATAGAGTTGGAGTCACAGAGAATGTACCTGTGGCACAGTAAGAAATATATATTTGGTCTTTGTCCCCAGTTTCTGGCAGACAGTTCCTAAAACCCTTATAGTTTCCAGAGGGTTAACGAGTGTCTTTTGTATGCTAACGTGATGACGGGTGTGGGGGCAGGGGCTCTAAACGGCTTCTGGGTGGTGGCTGGTTGCCAGAAAAACGGAGGTTTGACTGCAACTTTCAGCTCCACCCCTAGACCTCTGGGAGGAAACAGGGGCTACAGATTGAGTTAGTCATCAATGGCCAACGATTTAATCAATTATTCCTGTTTCCTAAACAAAATATAAACTCCTTAGCAGAGCATTCAAGGCCCTTCAACACCAGTCTCCTAAAGTCCCTTTCTAACCTTCATTCCTAAGATTTCCCAACTAGTGCCATCATGACAACCAATACGGAGTTTTTGCCTTTTTCCTGGTTTTACCAGCTGTTCTCTTATTCCTTCTGTCCATATCTCAACTGTTCTCCCCACAGCAGTAACGTCGTTGATACAATCAGATGTTTGATTCTTAACTCAAATGATACCTCTCCTATGAGATATTGTTTCTTTGTTTATTTATTTAGAATAATTGAGCACAGAAATGGTTTATTGTTTTTAAAAAGTAATTTTTACAAAACTACTTGCCTGGTTGAATTTCCCTTCACTTTTTGCCTTTGAATTTCTGGCTCTTTTTTTTTAAAAATAAAAAATTATTAAATCTATTGGGGTGACATTGGTTAACAAAATGTTATAGGTTTCAGGTATACGATTCTATAATACATCATCTGTATGTTATATTGTGTGTTCACCACCCCAAGCCACTTCTCCTGCCATCACCATTTATCCCGTTAACCCTCTTCTTCCTCCCTCCATCCCCACTTCCCTCTGACAATCACCATAATGTTGTCTGTGCCTGTGAGGTGTTTTGTTTTGTTTTTGCTTAATCCCTTCACCTTTTTCACCCAGCCCTCAACACTGCTCCCCTCTGACAGCTGTCAGTCTGTTCTCTGTATTTATGAGTCTGTTTCTATTTTGTCTGTTAGTTTATTTTGTTCATTAGATTCCACATATCAGGGAAATCATATGGCACTTGTCTTTCTCTGACTGGCTTATTTCACTTAGCATTATACCCTCCAGGTCCATCCATCCTATCACAAAAGGTAAGATTTCCTTTTTTTTTGCAGCCGAGTACATTGTGTAAATGTGCCACAGCTTTTTTATCCACTCATCTACTGATGGGCACTTGGGCTGCTTCCAAATCTTGGCTATTGTAAATAATACCGCAATGAATATAGGGGTGCATATATTCTTTCTAATTAGTGTTTTGGTTTTCTTTGGATATATTCCCAGAAGTGAAATCACTGGGTCATAAGGCAGTTCCATTTTTAAATTTTTTGAGGTAACTCCTTACTATTTTCCACAGTGGAGGCACCAGTCTGCAATCCCACCAACAGTGCACGAGGGTTCCTTTTGCTCCACATCGTTGCCAACACATGAAATATTTTTTAAATAGATTTTTTTCTTCTCTTCATCTCTTATAACACTGTTTGTTCCATAACTCAATTTAAGCATTTTCTATTGCAGTTATTCATATTTTCCTTCCAATAGCATGCACTTAAACAAAGTCTATATTTCTTCAACTTATGTCTCTCATACCATAAACTGTACCTAGCAAATATTGAATGAATGGAGGAGTAAATAAATGTTGTGATTACTTTTTTTTTGTAAGGATTTTCTAGAGAGAAGACAGGATATGATTTTGAAAAACAATATATTTTCTCAATGAAACAACTGTTCCCCAACTCATCAACTTTTTCTCATCATAACCATAATTAGAGATTTTTTTTAGACTTTCTGGTTGTTTTGGCACAAAACCCAATGCTTCCTTTTATTAAACCTGCGGCAATATTTTAACCTAATGTGAAAGTAGCAAAACCAAAAAGTGCATTCTGACTTGTCAGCATCCTTCCTTTTATCTCTTTTATCTCTTAACTAAAATCCTTCTCCAACTTTCCTAACTATTTGACATCCTCTGAGTGCTTTCATGTTAGCATTGCCCATCACAAAGTCACCTTGCACAACCCGGCCCTCCCAAGAGGAGGGCAGGTTCCAATTATGCTAACAGACAGCAGGCTGGAAACACTGTCCATTGACATCAGAATAACAATGTTTTCAAGAACGAAAGTTTCACAACTTTTTTCCAGAAACAGTAACGTACAAAGCAGCTCAGCTTGTAGGGAAGACAAGAGGCTCCATCAGAGAGACTGTGAGGTAAAAGGGCAAAAAGAGAGAGATGATGAGCTCTCCGCAGAGGGGGAGGCGCCAGCCAAATGCTCTTGGCAAAAGCATGGGCTTTGTCTTCACAGAGTCCTGAGTCTGACAGCAAGAATCTGCTTTTTTCTGGTTTAGAGAACTTTGTTCTTTTGTATACTCAACAAATATTTTTCGGTGCCTATAAAGTGCTAGATTCTGGGTATATGATAGTCAATAGATCAAGTACAGTGAGCACCCTAGCAGAGTTTACAGTCTAGCAGGATATAAACACAAAGCAAACACAGCAGCATGTCAGCTTGTACTTACAAATCACGAGGGCCACAGAGGGAGGGGGCAGATGTCAAGAATGTCAGTAATGGTAAGAACCTTCTTTGAAGGTACTTCTTGGGAGATGTTTTAGTTGACATGAAAAACAAAAAGCCAGCCATAAGAGTGTAAGGGAGAGAAAAGGTGTTATATTTCATTTGCAAGAAGAGTGTTCTTGTGAGAGTTTACATATAAAGTGCTTAGCACAGGACCGGCCCTTTGTAAATTCTTAACAAGTGATCATTCTTGCTATTGCTATGGCTGTTGACCTTACACATTGGTAGCCCAACCTATATAAGCCTACTGATCGCTGAACAATCTTTTAAACCTAGCAGACATTCAAATAACAAGCATCAATAGTTACATCTTTAAACAAGAGGGAAACAGAAACTGTTACAAAACACAGAGAAAGTCTCGTGAGAAGTTCAGCATCCTTTTATTCCCCTTTCCTTGATTAGTCCTTCATCTGCGTTTCTGTATTATGACAAAACCTCACTAATTCATATGCTGATAATTAAAGATTTTACATTTGTTCTGTGAAGCAAATGAATAATGTAATCAAAATGTAAGGAGGCAGAAGGCTTAATTTAATTAAGGAAAATTGTTGTTTCTGAGCAGATTTAACCACATACATTTGCATACAATTAATGTGTTGATTACAAATGACTTCAATTTTCTCATTAAAGCAAGCTAAGATCTTACTCTGTAACACTTGACCTTTGTAAACTTCCATTTCTTGTCAAAGTTTGCCATAAAAAAGGTATGCCACTAACTCAGACTGGTTCTTTTCTTCAGTTAGTCAAAATCAGAGTTTTCTGTTTGGCCAATCCTAACCTGACCTGCTTTCCTTTAGTAACTTTTTCATAATTTCTGTTTTGTCATTTTCCAGAAGTTAGTGGATCCAATTAAGGTGGACTCTTTTATGGTTAAATGATCTTTATAATAGTTATAATTTGATAAAGATTGAAAGGGTGTTCAAGGTGTAATTTTCCTTCCTT